AATAATTAGTAAAACTGTTTGAAACTTTATTATATAATAAAAAAATTTTGAATTAGATTCTTGTGGCTTATATATTTTTTATAAGCCCTTGTAAGCCTCAATAATCGCAAATTAATATGAATAAAAAAATTATTATTATGAACCAAATATTGCCCATGAGCGTTATTTTAAAAAATAATAGGTCTAAAAAATTGATCCTTTATCTTGAAATAATGCACATGCGCGTACTCAAAATAACGCGCAGGTATCTGAAATAACGCGCAGGTGTGCGTTATTTCGCGCCTATACGGTAACAAATAAATAATTAAATCTACTGTAGGAGGTGAAAATAAATAGGTCAAAGACGCGATTATAGTCACGTGACCTGTTTTAACCGGAGTATCGCGAGACATAATAGTAATTGATTAATGACGAGAAATAATATGAATCACTTCTGTTTATAAGCTTTAAATGTTCTATCGATTTCGGTTGTTTTCTTTTACTCTAAAAGCTTCTATCCAGATTTCTAAAAACATGTATGAAAAGGGTAAGAAAAGTATCTAATAAAGACAGAGAATTTAGTCAAGTCAAATCCGCCTCTTTGAGTTTTCATTGATAAACTAAAGTGACGGTTACGCAAATTCTGCTCCCAGACTTGCCGTTACCCCGTCACACTACTTACAATAAATAATTTTATTATGCGATTTTTGGTGAGCCGTTGTATCGCTTGATACAGAAAAGGCATAGACGCCAAGATGCCGATGATTCATAAAGATTTTTTTTCTATCTAATCGGTTACCGACACGGATGATGATAGGTCTTCTGCTAGAATGGAATTTGTATTCATGCGTTTTTGCATTTTCTGTGGCACTGTAACACGAGGAAATTTTTTATGATGTTTTAAGATTTCAGCCGCATGCTTTTCTCTATTAAGTCGCATTTGGGTAATGTATGTGTAACTTCTTGAATAAAAGTAGCAATTTTATTTTCCGGGTACTTAAATAAATGTTATATATTACAATTATTTAGACGTTGCTGGAGCCAGATATATCCGATTTGTCATAATACTCAACGTGTAACAATATCGAATTTTAAGCGAAGATGCAATGATTTTAAGTAACACACAAGGCACCTAGAATCATAGATATAAATCATGAAACGATATAATTTACTGGCCCTTGATTTTAAAATCACAGATATATATTCACAAGGTCATTAAATATCAAAACCTTCTCGCATTGCTGTCTTAAATAAAAAATGGAACGATCTGAAGTATATCCTGAAAACCTTACTATCGATGTAACACTCCATTCCGCAAGTGGAGACGGCTGTTGTGTATACACCCTTAACAACACAATCGATATTTCCACACCATGTTTAGAAACCAGCCTATATATGATTGTATGTTTCGACAGCAACGCACTGGTTTCGGGTATTATCAAGGGATATATCACAGGAAGAAGTTTGAACTTAATAGACATCGAAAATATGAGATATATAGCTGGAAGAGGCTTTAGTTTGTCAAGCCTCGTCGAAAATACGAGTCAATTTAATGAAGGAAGCTTACGCTCGCCAAACTTCGCCGAAAACTCGAATTATATTAATGTAGGAGGTCTGGACTCGTCAAGCTTCGTTGACGAGACGGGTTATGTTGTCGAACAAGGCTTGCATTCATTAGATTTTATCGACGAAAACGTGGGCCACATCATTGGGGAAAGCTTTGGCTCATTGGATGTAGCCGAAAACACGAGTTACATCATTGGAGAAAGCTTGAGCTCGTTGGGCGCGGGCCACATTGGAGAAAGCTTGAGCTTACTGGGCGCATCCGAAAACACGAGTCACATCATTGGAGAAAGCTTGAGCTCGTTGGGCGCGGGCCACATTGGAGAAAGCTTGAGCTTACTGGGCGCATCCGAA